GCCCTGCAATGGTGTACATGACTCATGTTGTTAGATTTCCTCAGTTCAAGGTGAGCTATGGTGATAACAGAAAATATGTGGTCTCTCATTAGATAGATATAATGAATGAGATCATTTGTGGCTAATAATCTTTATTAACAGATTGATGAAGATAGAGAGAGACTTCGGAAAATGCAGTCTAGGAATGTGAGAGGGAAGCTTTCGTCCGGCCAAGAACTTGTCATGGAGGAGACTTTTTATTTGAAATTTCCCCATCCATCAAATCACAGTGGTCATCCTGTGTCTGCGTTGTAAGTTTTTAGTTTTTAAAGGAATACATATTTAGCTATATTCAAGAATTTAGATAAATACATGTAAAATGAAGGAAAGAAATGGCAACTGTCAGCCACCAATCTTCTTTGTACAACTTATAAAGAACTAAGTTAGTCTGTGATGCTTTCACAGGCTGCATGTTTGCGGGACCCTGTGGATCCCACCATAGTGAAGAAGATTCACCAACTTTATCACAGTGGAGTTCGGCTGGTGAAAGAATTTGAGCGTCACATTGTGAATTTTGTTGAGGGTGTAGTCTTCAAAGATGGAATACCCCCACCAAGGAGTCATAGAAGATGGTTTCCCACTCCAGCAGACATTCGAAATATATTGGGAACTGCTAAATCAGCTGATAGGCGTGTGCCCAATGATCAATAAAACCTGGCCCTATATTGTGATGATCTCAAGGAAAAGTATCCTGATGCAACAGTCTTTTTTAGGGTAATATTTTCTTTATCTTTTCTAAGTTTGCACTATAGCACAATGTAGCATTATGTATATATACTTAGAGCTTTGTCTAAAATATAGGTTTTTTTCCTCAATGGTGATTTATCCTAATTAAAACTATTATTTTCTGGTTAAAGTATACAGTAAGAAAGAATTATTGTCCATAATGAAATCATAAAAATAAATCAACTTCACTGAGGTGGGAATAAATTACATAATCACTATTAGTGATTAGTCAAGAGAGTATTCTTAATCATTTTGTAACTGTGTACTGATTTGTTTTATTACAGCCTAGTACGGTCAAGCTTGATGATGCCAGTCAACAAGATGACAAACTTCTCTTCTTTTACCAAACACTTTGGCAGAAAGAACTTTTGAGGAAATATGGGGAACAAATGTGCTTGATGGATGCTACATACAGAACTTCGCGGTAAGATTCCACAAACATGTCTAACCACATTTTAATGTATGATGAGAAATCTTAAAAATCACATACGTACATATGTTTTTATTTGATTTTTACAACACTTCCACAAGAAGACAGACACTTTCACAGCAAGAATTTTGCTGTACTTCCATCAAGTAATATGATTATGTAAATTGAATAATTCCCTATTCATTAGCAATATTTTCTGTGTCATATCATCAGTACAATGGTTCACCTTGAATTTAGGCTTGGTATTCCTGAGCCTGATATTCCTATTTTATGATACCTGCATAAATTCTTAAACAGGCTATTAATGTTGCTTCTAATTGACGGCTAAAATATTTTCTTACAGTTATGCCTTGCCTTTATTCTTCATTTTTGTACGAACAAATGTCTGTTACTCAGTCGTGGCGACCTTCATCACTCACAATGAAGACACAGAGTCACTAACTGAGGCACTGACTCTGCTCAAGGAGACCAATCCTAACTGGAAACCCAAGAACATGATGGTGGACTACAGTCTACCTGAGATAAATGCTTTGGAGTCTTGCTTTCCAGGTAACAATTAGAGAAAGTTCAGATTTCTATAAAACCAATAGGAAAATAAGGCAGCAAATTTCTAATGCAGTAATTTATATTTTTCCCAAAAGAGTTGTTGTTTAGATGATCAGAATCTCTTTCTATCAGTTCTAACCAGAGAATACATGATTGGTTCAATGATGGCTTGAGTTGTAATTTGCATATACTGATAATTTGCATATCAGTATATGAAATATATATTAAATATTCCTTCATCCTTCCTGTAAAATCAATCAAATGGCCATTGTGGATTATACAATTTTATATTTATTTCAACATGAAATGCTGAATTCAGATGGCGTACTTCACAATTAATGTAATTGTACATGTATTTTTTTCCCAGGTACAAAGGTGTTGATCTGTGATTTCCACAGAGAGAAAGCCTGGAATGAATGGATAAGCAAGAAAAATCATGGATTGTCCCACCTGAGTAAGGAAGTCCTCAGTTTTCTCAGAAATATCGCAGGTAGTCCCACACAAGATCTCTACAATCATCATGCTACTCTACTCAAATCTTCAACAATTTGGTAAGAAAATGAGACGTTCAGGAATTATTATGAGAAAACCTGGGAAATTCAGCGTGAGGTAGGTTTTCTCTGACTATTTTCTCAGATTGTTTCTCATCCCTGGGATTAGGTGTTGAATTATTGAATGTAACCCTAACCCTATCCGAATGCATATCATTCTGTTATTTGTTTGTCATTTTATCTCTGTATTTTCAATTTCAATTGAACAATTTGAATTGAAACTTTCTTTCTTTACTTACTTTCTTTTAATTTGATTCTACATATTCTTTCAGCGTTGGGTCCGTGCATTTCGTGAAGAAAGTCTCTACATTGCCATCCACACAAACAACGGTATCGAAAGGCAAAATGAATGGTTGAAGGCTTCATATCTGGCAGGATATAAAAACTGCAGTATAAGTGAGCTTGTTACAGTACTAGTGGATCGGTTTATCCCAGATACCTTTAGAAAGTAAGCGCTGAACATTTTTCTTGTAAAAGAGAAAAATGTACACACTATAATTATATCTCTTTTCCAGATATGAAGAAATGAACATTCGCTGCTCTGATGGCTATAGACGGTACAGCGATAGTGTTCCAAAATATCTACACAATCGACCCAAGGACATGGTTGACCACTTAATGAAGAGAATGAGTGCTACCATTCCCAGGGAAAACATTCTCACATTGGATGTGATGTCTACTAGATTTCAAGTGACAAATGAGGAGACAAAAGGTGTGCACTCCCTATGGCTTGGTGATACTAACAAGCCTCCCTATTGTACCTGTCCTGATTGGCATAGGTACAAATTGCCTTGTAAGCACATGTGTGCTGTTCTACAAATGCCAGGAATTGGTTGGGACAAATTGGGTGAGTGTTATCGTGATAACCCAATTTTTACCCTGGATCAAGATGTTATAAGTGGGTGTAACACCCCTGCAAATACAAAAGTGGCTCCAGCTGACAGCACTGGTACAAGTACAACCATCCCAGAAGCTGATGATGACAATGATGATGCCACAACACCAGTAGACTCTATGCCAGAACCAGGAACCACTAACGCAAACTCTGAGATCAGATATGACAAACTACCAGGTCGAAAGAGAAAGCATACATCTGACCGAGCTAGAGAAATGTGCATCATCCATCTGAAGGGGATGATTGACTCAATGTACCTTATCCAGGATGAGCAAATCCTCCAAAACTTTCAAAAGGAATTTCAAGAAATGTTGGGCAATGTGAGGAGATGTGTGCCAACCCTGAATGACATTCCAAGGAAGAACAAGTCACCAAGAAAGGAAAAGACTCTTCCCTCTAAAAAGCTTGGTAAGATACCTATGAGGTTATTTGGGAAAAGAAAAAACAAATATACGAATCGTGTGGGAGAAAAGGCAGAGGAAATGAAGACAACATTCAAGGTGCCACATTAAATGCCATGTGTATTTTGAGTGCTGTTATATAAATCCATTTATGTAGTGTTTAGCATGTGAATGTATATATGAATAGCACCTTCTTAAAAGTTTTTTGTGATATTTTAATTAAATGCCATGTGTATTTTGAGTGCTGTTATATAAATCTATGTATGTAGGATTTAGCATGTATGTATGAATAGCACCTTCTTAAAAGCTTTTTTTGTGATATTTGAATTAAATTGTATTTATGTACATGAGTACACTCATGTATTTTGAGTGTTGTTGTTGTTATACTCAAATACATGTACACATAATATAGAATAGTAGAAAAAAACAAGTTTACCATTATTTACCATGTTAAAAAAATAGAAATAAAAAGACTGCGTGGTGCTCACTGTGCACTCGAAATATGAAAAAAAAAAAAAATAAGACAATGAAATAACGGGAATTGAACCTCATACGCCCATGAGACAGGCCTCGTACATGACCACTACACCACACGCACGGTCCCAATCGATCTTGGCCCAAAGAACTATATATTATTAATAGTCTTCGTATAACTGAATAACAACCGTTATGTGATTTTTATCCTTTTTTATATTCTATGTGTTTTTGCATTCATTATTATGGATCCATGATTTACTGTCTAAAACTAATTCAAAAGTAATACAATTTGAAGGGCCGCTATAAGATTGTTACTTCCGCTTCCGTCCCGATTCCGTATATGATCTAGTGCCGACCCTAATTCTTCTTCTGGGTCCACCCCCATCGACCCGGGGTGGTATTGCAGCATGTCAGCGCATGTCATTTTGGCCACTTTTGAGCTGGGACCCTCCCCCACTGGGAGAGACTTGTCTATGGGAGAGACCTGCGGGACCGCCTGGGACTACCCATGCTCGGACTACATTCGGACGCAAAACTAGCGGTAATCTTTCAGTTATATATTGTGTTACAACAAGTTGCGCTTATGCTAATGTTAGCATACGTATCAGATCGCAAATAAAACTAGATGGCTCCGTGGAATGAGAGCGTAGGGGAAATGAGAAGCCTGTGAGCGAGTTGGGGGCGGTGGTAAACATTCAAAGCTTGCAGAAACGGGTATAGCTCCTTTTAACTATTAGTCTCTCTTTTTCACTTTTCTGTCTGAAAAAGCTGATCTGCAGATGCCAAAACTGCTTTTTTGTGAAATTATAGGGATATAACTAAACTACGGTCCTTGTTACATAGATTGCATATAGTTTCATTGTTGTGGCTTGAAATGTGGGTTCTCCAACTTTAAATAGAGAAAGTAAAGAGAAAAGGTCAACGACTGCACTCACCGTGAGGTACACAGCAGAGTACACGCTGAGAGCTGCGTCCTTAGACGGGAAGGAGCGGCGTGCGTACTCCACCACCAGCGGGTTGCCGGTGCAGATGTTGCCGTTGACGATGAACTGGTGGTTGAAGCGACACTCGGTCCCGGTGTAGTTAGGTTTACACACGGACAGGAAGTACGGAGACAGCCCCCCCGTCACCACCTGCCCAGCGTTCACAAAGATGTCCGTGGCGAAGAGACCGAACGCAAAGACACCTACGGGACAGAGATGCACATTAGGAAAGCTCTTAATCACCTGGTTCCGTTTTGCGTCGTTCCCCGGTTGTACATCTCAAATCCGCTAAATTGGTGCGTGCTTTTACATTTCCCACTGGCATGTTGTACCTCCCAGCTGTCATTAGGCCACAATATCTTATGCTAACAAGACAAATGCGTGTCAATTATTTGCGCGAAGAGCATGTGGGCTGAAAATAGATTTGTATATTTGGCTTTTCTGCTAGGTTGACTGACGCATGCTTGTGTCCTAGAAAGTTTTAACTAAGGGTTTTTTGAATCATGCTTTTCATCCATTAAGGTAATTCTTTTGCTTTGTTCAGTCGATGATCAGTCCCGCACTGCACGGCCTCAGTCCCTGTCCTACAGCCTGAGTCCTGGATCTATAGCCTGTACGTCCATGGGAGCAGATCCCTCTATCAATGTGGGCCTCTCTGAAGGTTTCTCACTTTTCCCACTGGATTTTGAGTTGTTCTGTGTAAATGCAGGAGAGTTTAAAGGACACTGATGACCTTGGACATTTCAGGACATGTATTAACATTGGTCATGCTATGGATAAATGGCTCCTATGTGTTTGTTACTATTGCATTTCCTGTGTTAGATTCTCTGATCTGTTGTTGTGGAGTCAACAACTTTAAAAAGGCCTACGAGACTACTGCTGCTTCTTAGGGGTATACAAAAAGAAATTCAATTGAATGATGGACAACATCTATTTCTCAGAAGATTGAATGTTTAAAGTGAATCCAATCCAACACGCCAACACTCTAGTCTAACAACATTGCCGGATTCTAAAGCAGCTTTTGTGCACTTTAACCACTCACTTTCCCCAATGATTTCTTTAAGTTGCTACATGGAGAAGAGTGCCCTGACTGCGTTTAATTGAATTTTAGTTGTGATCGAGGTCCAGTCATGGCAGCACGATGACTAAGTGGGTAAACTCATGCCTCACAGCAACAAGGTCAACCCAGGCTTTTATGTATGGAGATTAAGATTAAGCTGACGAGATCCTCTATTCGTCCCACTGTGGGGAAATGTCAGTGTTGCATCACAAGTTACAGAACAGTAGGAATGACGAGCACGCAGAACAAGATAAATGATTAATAACTGTATAATAAAATATCTCTAACTCTAGCATATAAAGAAGCAGTATAAAAAAATCTTGTGTGGGCGACAGTGGCTCAGTTGGTAGAGCATTGGCCTAAAAGCCGTGGGTCGTGAGTTCAAGCCCACCGCAAGACTACTTCACGACTCCCACTGATGTCTGCTGTCGTTGTGTACTTGGGCAAGACACTTAACCCCACTTTGCCTGAAGCCCCCGCTGAATAATCAAGGCTCCTGTGGACTCACCATCTGCAGGAGGATCAGTGAGGGGCATGGTGCTATGTGGACTGGGTGCAGCTCTGACCCTGACCCAGAAATGGATTAATGGGAAGAAAACGGATGGATGGAAAGTCTATAATCTCCAACTCTAAGCATTATGAATAAAACTATTTGACTTTAGCAAGTTTGCATGGTTCCCCCGTGTCTGGGTGGGTTTCCTTCGGGCGCTACGGTTTCCCCCACCAACCAAAACATGCAACAGTATGACTCTCGTGAATGATGGTAGAGCACATGTGTCAAAGTCAAGGCCCGCGGGCCAAATCCGGGCCGCGAATGAATTTGAACATGGCCCGTTGCCTGCCATTGACGCACTATAACGTCAATTGCGTTTTCCGCTATTTTCATGTTCCCAGATGTCTATTATATCTAATATGTTTGGGGATAAGCTTGAGAGCATATTGAATCGAGCCAGCAGCGCTCTCTGAATGGTTTGAAAACAGCTAGATGCACTTGTTGTGCCTCTTTTTTCTCAGCTTTTTGGTGATTTCAGTAAAACTTCCCTGTACTCAACTGTATGGAGGACCAAAAATGACTAAAGTATAAATAAATAAATAAATACAGGAATATATTAATAAATACATTCATTTTGGACAATAAAAACTAAATATTTACATTGATGTGTTAAATATTACTATGAAATCAAATAAATATACTTTTATTTAGGTTATTTATCAAAATCTACATTTTTTCCTGTATTTATTTATCCATTTATTGCATATATTTATTTATGTATTTCTACATTTCTTCATTTATTTATTTATGTATTTCTACATTTCTTCATTTATTTATTTATGTATTTCTGTGTCGCTACATTTCTTCATTTATTTATTTATGTATTTCTACATTTCTTCATTTATTTATTTATGTATTTCTACATTTCTTCATTTATTTATTTATGTATTTCTACATTTCTTCATTTATTTATTTATGTATTTCTGTGTTGCCGTATGCTAATTAGGCGGGCGGTGCTGAACTCAATCTAGAACAGGATTGGTGGGCAGTAGGTCAGCCAGGGCAACCAGACAGAAGCAAAGTTAAGCCTAGCGTACATCGACAGAGAAACTGGAGACAAGTTGAAGGCGGCTTTTGGCAACTGAGAGGAGATGATGGAGATAATCAGTTGAAATCGGTCAATGTGCGCGCTCTTACAACTGGAGATGAACAGTCAGTCTCCAGTTTCAGTCAGTTGCCCGTGTTCTACTTTTCGGCAACTAGTTGTCCTCAGTTTTCGAGATATGACCCGATGTGCGCGCTCCATGCGCCGCTCCGACAACGTGTGTGTATTGCGTGTATTGTGAGCCCGCAACAGTTTATGTCAGAAAACACACTGTAGTTGAGGCCAGTTGCTGTCGATGTACGCGCTGTTATTCCCGAGACTGGTCTGCTACTGGGAGTTGCCCGTTTTCGTCAGATTGTCGATGTGTGCGGGGCAGCAACTCATATGCGACGGATATAATCAGTTGCCAGTCCGATGCACGCTAGGCTTTAGCCTTCTCGGTTTGTGAGAGGATGTGAAGCTGCTGTATAGCTTGTTGAAGAGCGTCCAGCACAGTTGCATCAAAGTCTACCTCTGGGTCAGCACTGTGATGAACTAAAACATCTAATAGTCTTTCCAGCCGAAAGAGTAGATAGTCCTCAGGTGCATTATGCTCAACATCATTAACATCATTTGCTAATGCTCTTAATTGATGAGCAATGGCTCCTAAAAAACGTACATTCGAAACTGCCATCATACCACACAAAAGTGCACAGAGGATCTCTAGCTAGCTAACAGAGTACCGTAATGTGAGGCAGTAATGATCGAGACTAGAGTTCACGCAATCCTAACCAATCCTGTTCTAGATTGAGTTCAGCACCGCCCACCTAATTAGCATACAGGAACACAGAAATACATAAATAAATAAATGAATAAATGTAGAAATACATAAATGAAGAAATGTAGCGACACAGAAATACATAAATAAGTAAATGAAGAAATGTAGAAATACATAAATAAATAAATGAAGAAATGCAGCGACACAGAAATACATAAATAAATAAATGAAGAAATGTAGAAATACATAAATAAATAAATGAAGAAATGCAGCGACACAGAAATACATAAATAAATAAATGAAGAAATGTAGAAATATATAAATAAATATATGCAATAAATGGATAAATAAATAAAGGAAAAAATGTAGATTTTGATAAATAACCTAAATAAAAGTATATTTATTTGATTTCAGAGTAATATTTAGCATATCAATGTAAATATTTAGTTTTTATTGTCCAAAATGAATGTATTTATTAATATACTCCTGTATTTATTTATTTATTTATTTATTTATTTATTTATACTTTAGTCATTTTTGGTCCTCCATACAACTGGGGATTACAAGCTAGAAACAAAATTCTTTTTGCTGATGAAAGTAGACAGTCTATTCTTTCAGAATCTGGTTTCGGATTTCAGATAGTCATAGTACACAATATTCTGTGGGTCTTGAAAAATCAATAAAAATCATCAGAAACTGCTGGCAATATGGGAGTACCTGTTCTGAAATAGGCTGGCAGGCAATGAGGTAATAAACATTGAACCAGTCCGGCCCTCGGCTCGCAGCAAATTTGTTTTTTTGGCCCTCTGATGTATTTGACTTTGACATGCCTGTGGTAGAGGTTCCAGGGGCGTATGGCACAGACTCTCTCGTTTGCAACAGTCTGCTCCAGGGCAACTGTGGCTGCTGTGGTAGTAGTAGTTTAGCACCTCTGTGTACGGAGTGAAAGAAGAGTGACTTCAGAGTAGTCCTTCAAATGACTTCAATAAGACTGTAAAGCGTTTAAAAAGGTTTTATCATTAGTATGCCTAAATGTTGAATCCATTTCATTCATTTTTGTTTTCATTTTGCATGGTATTTGCCATTTGCAGTAAAACCACATTAGAAAACATTTTCAAAAGTGCCCAGTGTGCTCAAGAGAAGCACATAAATAAACAAGGTTAAAAGTAGAGGAATAAATCCAGCAGTTTAAAGTCCACGCTCGGTCAGTGGAAACACAGATGTTGGATGAGTTTTACAAAATTGAGGAAAACAGAATGGTTTTGTTCTGTTGGCCAATATAATAAAGCATCCTGCTCAGGGTCTCTCTATGTCAATAACTGACCCAAAAACAACTGAAAGGGCTGTTTTTAAGGGCTAGAAACAGAGTCAGGCGGAACATTTTAAACCAAGACTGATCTCATAGGGATAAGTGAGCACCAATTAGCTTGATGCAGCCAATTGTCCACGGATCCGTTTAACAAGCGCCCGACGAGATAAACTCTCCACTTTAGCTCAAGGCATTGATTACACATCACACTCAGTTAACATAATTCCAGGATGACGGTGCCCACTCTTTCCCCTCACCAGGATAAATTAAAATGAGCTAAGCAGTTACAGGACAATAGGTATATGGCAGGTACACAAAATAAATTGGAACGAATGATTATGCTGACACTCACGAGCTCCGACCACCGTCCGCATTCCTTCTGTGAAATATGGCTCCTGATTATCTGGACTGCTTAGCCATGAAATTACTCTGCTTTGTATTCTCATCTGCAGGAGGTAGCGGGTGGTTACAGACAGGGGGGGTGAAGGGCAATGAGGGGAGGAGAGGAGATAGAGAGGACTAGAAACTTCAATGATCCAACAAATTTGAGAGATTGTGCCTAAACCCGATGGAATAGTAAGTCAGACGAAGAACTATGGCCTTATGAATTTCAGATGAGTAGTTTAAAATGCAGTACTGATTGTGTCAGGAAGGCCAGGCAGGTAGAGGGAATGCAAAATATCCGAGCATTTAGCAGGTTATAAAACTGCTACAAATTGTGTTATTAGAAAAGAAACCGCATGTATTTTTAAAAGATCATCACCCGAAGAGAAAAGGTATTCAGCTGGCTAAGGATAGAAATTGGGTAAAATGCGTACAGACAAAAACAGAAATACAGTTTTAAAAGGGGAAGGAGGTTTTTTTAGTATGCATCGTCTCTTTAAGACACAGGATGTTTTATGCCGAGACACACATAATTTTTGGTGTTTTCTGGTCAAAGTTATATTTTTAGCCTTATTTATTTGAAACGGGACATGTGCCCAAGTTAGCTAAATTAAGCCAATTTTCATCGCTAGTCCCGTGAGCAGATGTTAAGGCCAGTCTGAAAATAAAAAATAAAAACAATAGTGTGGATGTAGTCATAAGTAGAAACACAATGCACATTATATATGAACATGTCTGATATTGTAATTGTAAGAAGCAAAAACAACCCATTCTTTGAAATTATTATATAAACAAATACAAATCAAACAATACACTGATGATGGTTCCTCTTTGGAAATGGTAAGAGTCCTCTACATTGGTGTCAAATGAATTAATTAGGGGAATACATGTGAGTTTTAATTAGTGTCATGAACGCAATTACAACAGTAGTAACAATACGCATGATTGAAATACTAAATTAAAAAGCAAACACTGAACACAATGTGACCAAGAAACAATATCTAAAATCTGCAGTAAACATGTTTTCGGTTGATAATTTGCGTCTCAAATGTGATTATGTGTCAGTGGTGACAGAGTGCTGGTGAGGTGCTGCAGTGGTGCAACAGAAGTGGACCGCTGCCACTTGGCTCCGTGAGGCTGACAAACGCCTCATATATTTGAGCTACGGTTTAGTGTTTTTAAACAGAGAAGTCTCCAACAGCTACAATAAAGGGATTTAATGCTGGAAAACTATAGGTCTCACTTACAGCACTGCTTTAGGTGCATACTTTAATGGCTTTAACTTCATCTACGCCTCAACTTCTTTATCCCATAATCAGGCCAATGCGCGTTCCAAAGTTAAAAGTAGGATTTAGATGATTTGACATTTCAGAAGTAGGAAAAAAACCGTAATAATAACAGTTCCTTAAATGTCAATGACTCTGAATGAGAGGCACTCAAGCATGAACTATTAAGTGATATTCACCAGGGAAATAATATAATATACTTTCCCGAGTATAAAGCTGTATTTAAAGGGGACATACTGTATGTAGAAAACACAGTATTAAAAAAAGCAGAAAATTACTAAACCATGAGATGCCGGTGTCGTTACTCAAAGGTGAAGACCAAACAAACTGGATTTCATAGAAGAAACCAGAAACTCAAAACAAACTTCTGAGGTCCTGTTTACATGGAGACACCGTGACAGTAAGACCGTAAGATCCTGGTGGTGACATGGCCTCCAGAGTGGAACGAGACGGCTGCCCTGCGCAATGGCGGCGGATCAACTTGTGCTATATGTGCATCTAGCGTTACACAGAGGAGCAATACTACTTCCTCGTCGGTTCATCGAAACCACACAACGCTGTAGTTTCAGTTTCCATTTTCGCTCTTTTGTTCAACGAAGAATGATGTTGGCGCATTATTTTCCGGCGTTCTGGTGGCCTGAGAGGGTGTTGTTGAGGAAGTGGTTGTAAAGTTCCACTGCCCACTATTGGCCAGGCGTTAGAACTTACATCGTTTTCACTTGCTATGTTGACGCTTTGCACTTTGGATGTCGTTATTGCGAATTGCTTTTGTCTCGGTGTAAACAGGGCCTTATCCTTAGAGATACAGTAGGGTAGAGAGGCCGGTTAATCGGAGTCTGTTTTGGATGTAAACATTTGAAGAAATTCCCACTATAAACCTTTCTCGACATGTGCATTAAAATTGAGAAACACTGGACATGGGGCTGAAGAGGAGGACTTGTTATTTCTCCTTTTTTGGAGAAAGTAAGACACTGAGCCAGGAACAGGCTGCATGTTTTACCTTTGCCTTTCACAGTGTTCGGTTTAAATATTCACAATTTAAATCAGCAAGTTCAGTATTTGCTTCTGCGTGTGTGCAAGTACATGTTGGATGAAAACACAGATTCAATGCAACATCTGGATTTTTTGCGATCGCACAGACTACTTTCTTCCTTCCATAAGAAATGATACAATAACATAGAAGAAAGAAAGATCACAAAAGTTTATCGGTCAATGCTTTCAAACAGACGGGTTGCCTTCTCAGGTGTCGACTGTCAGCATGTGGGCCGCATAGAGCCACACTTGGACGCGCTCCGATGTGCATGGCTACTCACTCTGATCCTTTCCCAAAGAACCAGCTTCCCCTTGAACTCTGACAGTCCAACATACAGGTCAATAAAAGCACTGACAGGCTGTAGGAGGAAAACCATGCTGTAAAATGTAGCAATGTGGAAATAAAATGGAAAATGCAGAATGGAGTTATTACAGAGCATGGGCATCTATTACTCAAGCATGAATCTACTCTGAATTCATCTTTGAATCTTTGAAAGGTAATGCAAAATAATAGAGTTGTTTTTGAAATCAGTTTTTTGCACCCGGTCTTACCAATGAAGCGAATGACGCGCCGGATGAGCGGGCTGAGGTAACAGCAGTCTCCGGTCACGATGATCTTCTCCTGGGCCAGAAGACTTTCCCTGGTGGACTTCATCACAAACATGGCCAATTCACCAATAAAGATCTGTAAAAGAAATAACGTTGGTATGTGGATGAGAATTACACATGGTAAAAGGAAAGATATTATGCAAAAGTCACATTTTAGAGCTTTCACCCAACATTTTTCTATCATGAAAAACAGACCTGGATTTGTTTTTAGAGCCATCCAAGCTAATACCAACAACTCCTGGCAAAAACATGTAACTCCGCCTCTTCTGTCTAAAAGCTCCTGTCCCAGTCCTCTAATGGTATGCTGTCATTTTACCACTATGACATCACACTCAGGTGAAATCATGTTCTTTACAATCGCATGGCTGCAGACGGTAATTTTTGAATCCAATATTAGTTTTGGCTTTGCGGTTTGTGAGCATTTGTATCAATTAAAAATCTTCATGTGGGCTATGGAATATATTGTTTGAAAACAAAAATCCAATCCACAGAAACATTTTTACATAAACGTGCTCTGAAAAAAATAATGATGACTATTTGTTATTGTATTTATTTATTATTAGGGACAGTACAAATGCATGCAGTGTAAAGAAGATAGATTATAGCAAACAAGCTACAGTTGTCCCTAGGTTTTCACAGACACAAACACAACAGTGCAGCCAAATAAAAGGGTTTGTTTATTTGTATTTTCTTCATCTGCTTTTTGAGATTAAGAGAGCCTATATTTGCCAAAAAAGGTGATTCCAGTGTTGCATCACAGGTTAGAGAACAGCAGGAATGAGAAGCACACAAACTGAGAAGGCTCTCAGCAAAAGGTGATTAAAGTGACAGTGGACACATGTGGGCCCATCATGCACATTCTGACATTATTGCACATTATTGCACAGATTCAGATGTCAGCAGTCTTCATCAGTCTTCCTTCTGACAGCAGCACGGAGGAAAGACCTGCGGAACATCTCCACCGCACAGCAAGGGTGGATCAGTCTGTCATTGAAGCTACTCTCCAGAGCAGACAATGTCCAGCAGGGGGCGGCAGTCATGGTCCAGCATGGATGTAGTTCAAAGGAATATTCTCCCGATAGTGTTTCCCTCATATAATCTTATAATCCAATAATAATCCTGGTTCTCTTACATTCCAGAAAAACAATGAAAAACAAGTGACGTCCACTAAAATGTAGTCGTACAATTTAAGTAGAAAAATATTTTGGTCTGTCCGTGTTCTGACTAAAACTACTGTCTTAATGCTTTCCATCCTTAGGTCTGCGCTGGTATTAGATCACCCCTAATGGAAAAGTGTTGCTGGACACTAAATTAAATCTTGTGTCCAATACCGTGAGGGGCAGCCATTTAAAAGTGCTTTCTAAATGAATTTTAAACTAACAAAGAGAAGACCTGCGGTATCTGATTAGTTTTTGATGTCAAAAAGTTGGATTTTATGGTTTGCCTCAAAACTTAGAAAAGAACAGTTTTATTTAGTTAACTGAGCTAATTAGGAAATGCAATAATAGCAAATAGTGGTTGCTTTGAATAATTTAATTAGCAAATAATATGAGCAAATTGAAGGAAAATTGAAGTAGCTATCACATTTCCTCTATTCAGACAGAGCAAAAAAAAACAAAACTATTTAATCACCTGACAAAGTTAGAGAAAGTGAATTCCCAAAGAAGACAGGATTTTTTTCTAAAACTAGTGAGCAGATATTGCTGAAATGAAATATAATGTAACACTGGGACAATGTAATGAAAACCACTTTTACAACAAGATTTATATTAACCCAATATAGTGTATTAGGACTCAGAGGTGTGTATCTATTTGAACAATGGTTACAGCCAAAATGAACATGCATATATGATCTGACACTTGCGTGGAATACACATGTAGACCTGTGATCGCACATAGATAACAAAATTGAGTTAAAGGAGAAATATTTTGCAATTTTTAGGTCATTAAGACAATAGGGAGTCACTGCCCTTATATGTACCATTGGTCTTAGTTACTTCTGTTGCAAGAAGAGCGACACTTAATGGCATTAGACACATTTTCAAGTAAAAATACTACACTCTAAAAGCTGGCACTGAAATTGTGTGTCATGTCCATGCAGCTGCAGTTCCTTTTTCTTAAGTCAGAACAATAGTATTTTGGAACCCATCACATCTTTGGAACGAAGGGATCAAGGAGGCAATCAATTTGCAAAAACGGTCAAATAGTGACTTTTATTGTACATAATATTCTGCACAGACTATAATTTTTATCCAAAACATGTTGCACACTTATGTCTTTTTTCACAATCTGAGTGATTCTATCCATGCCAAATGTGACATGTAAATTTCTCCATTGTGAGATCTATAAAGTTTATCTTATCTTATCTTAAGTATGCAAAATACAATGTTTTGTAATAATAAGATGTTGTTGTATGATTTTCCTACTATATTTCACTCTTACATAATGATTGGTTGGGTCAAACAAACAACAGAAATGATAACAAGTTAACTCCAGCTTTAATTGATTCAGCCACACAGATTATAGCACTCAAATATGGCTGTTTTTGTCCCAACATAACCTACATAATACGAAATGCATCACATCACAACCCACATAATTTGAATTAATCAAGCGGCCAAGTTATTCAAGTTCAAATAACCCAGCATCAACACCAAACAATAAATAATTAGCATGCATCACTTGCCATTGGCTTAGCGGCTCCCCAAAGAAAACATCTGCCTTCACATACGAAAGAAAAGGTCGAGATATACATAAAACATTTCTAGGTCTGACACTGTCCACTGGCCCCTGTTGCATTGGCCAGTTCATCAAATTCACCCAATTTATAGACTGGCACAACTCGTTACCCTTCAAAGGCCATCTCATATTTTACCTGTGGCATTAGAGTGGACATTAAAATGACAAAATCACTGCCCACATTATTCAGACAGATTTTCCGTCATTCCATTATACGCAGCTTCATTGTCGTAGAACAGACGTAATGTGACATGGGCAGGAGATGGGGAAATTCATGGTGCAGTGGATGCTGTTAAATTGTGGAGAGGTTTTCATTGAGAAGTAGGAGGTTAAACCAAGGACCAACAGTTCAATGTGACCAAAAGGCAAAGGGAGTAGGTCATGTTGAGACGTTAAAACATGAATCATTTGGTCCTTCCCTATCTTTTAGTGAGTTCTACCATCTCACTCCTGTTAAAAATGCATGTTGGTTGTGGCCAAGTTTGTGCCCAAAAGGAAATCTATTTTGAACAAATCAGACTCTTTGGGCTGAGAGCTGATTTGGTGAGCTTATGATCTAAAAGGTTGGGCGGGCCGAAATGTTTTCTTCTTCCTAAGGTGGGCCTGTCAGAAAATAGAGAATCACTGACTTAAACAGTTCATATAATACACATGTCAGATTAAGTGAAAAAGAAAAAGAGCGAGATTTATTTGGAGACTTAAGGACATAGCTAGTATCTATTGTATGAGTATGCTAGTGGGACACAAACTGAGAGAAAGATCAGAATTCTATCTGGTTCATAAAAGTCTATTATAAACTCACGGACCTGGATTGTAGTAAACAGGACATGTAGGTAAAGGTAAAGGTGCACTTTATTGATCCCCGTAGGACAATTCAATCCTCTGCATTTGACCCATCCTGATGCCGCGAAGGCTTACGTCAGGAGCAGTGGTCGCCGTAGTAACAGCGCCCGGAAACCCATCTCCAGATGTTGATGCTCGGCTTGGTCAGGACTACCAAAGATGGAGGATTTAACCTAGTGAGCATGTTTTTAGTGGTAGGGGAAACCGGAGTAAATCTACGCAGGCACGGGGAGAACATGCAAACTCCACTCAGAAAGACCCTGATCCGACCGGGATTCAAACCCAGGAGTTGATAGCATTTAGTATAGGACTATAAATATAAAAAGTCAGGGGAGTAATGACGTTAGGAAAGGTCACGCCGTTGAGTTTTCATATTGTTATAGAGAGGTGGTCAAAAATATTCTCTTTTGTTCCAAGTTTCAGTGAGTAAGTCTTAAAGGGGAGATGACGCGCTGTCCATATGTTGTCCATTAAACTGAATCTCTGATGGATGAGCAGTTTTATGGACCGTATGATATAAATATGTCCCGTCTCAGCCCATTCTTTCTGACCATGTGGACCGTAAATTACAGTCTCTATGCTAATTGGTCGTCATCCAGGCATACCATTGTTAATCCTGATTGGCTGATACCGCGCGGTGTGCTCAGTCTGCACGAGCTGGAGGATAAACTTAATCAAATGAAACAGCATCTTTTCGAGAAAGAATTAGAAACCCTAAAGATGAAAACATGTATGTCATTCATTGCAAGAAAACAGTGAAGTAGCACTTTACATGAATAGAATCATGAAAGCAACCACTTATCTGAACCCAGATTTTTCCTTTCACTATACAATATACTGTATTTGAACATGTGAAATCTGATCTAAAATCAGTGTGACAAAAAACAATCCACTAATGTCCATATTAAAACTGTCTACCCTTTCACAATATATATTCACAAACTATAGATTGTTACTTTGTCGTAAAACAAACCCATTAGACACTTCGCTTATATGTGAGTCTGTTGAAGAAGGTTGTAAAACTATGCTCAAGTCACAGAAGAGATGAAGAGTGAACCGTCAGACTTCCTTTCTCTTTCCTATTAAGTTGTGCTTGTAAAAAAATATATATATGAAAATGTTTGTATTGCTCGATTTGGATGATTAACTTGCCATAATGAATCACAATGCCTTTCACCTGGAGAATACTGTGAGCAGTGCTGTGACTTTAAAAGACTTAAAAAGACCTTTGTTTTTTTGACACATTCTGGTCTTCCCTACTGCAAAAAGCCGGCACGGTTCCAAACAAAAGGGCAACTTTTTCCACTGTTGTCTGGAACTGATCGGCCATTTCAACACGGGTCCATTACACGTATCTGCAGTTTTAAAAACCCTCACGAAGCAGCTTATATTATCACATCTAAAATATGCAATACTAGGCAGACAGACAACTTAATCAAGTGCATGGGGATTGGAAAGCCACTCCATCTCTTTAGACCTCGCTAACCCAGTGAA